TGTTGACTAGGTAAACACGATCAAAGCGGAACAAGCATCTGCTCCTTGCTTCCTGCAATCACGACAGCGGAAGGAGTTCATGTCCACGAACATCCGGCTGGATCTGCCTGGCTTCTAGGACTCGTCGACAGGCTTGCTGGCTCGCCGCTCTGGCCGGGCCCAACGGAAGCGGCACGGTGGCCAGAGCCAGCGAGCAAATGTCATTGCGTATGTGAAGTCAACAGAAAGTCCATGAATCGTGTCAGCGCATCCGGCGAGGTCTGTCTGGCTTCCGAAACTCCTAGCCGACGGGCTCACTAGCAAGCGAGCAAATGTGAAGACAAGAACCTTTCGCGCCCTGGTTGTGCTACAAAGACGTACGACTCCTCGAATCATGTCAGTTCTCATGTCGATTGGAGCTGTTGACAAGATATTGACGGGGTCAAGTTATTGCAGAGAACCCCGCTTCGATCGAGACCATTGCTCTGTTCTCGATTATTCTCTGACGTTCATCACTGCCCTTGTTCCTGGACCCTTGCGTGTCGATGCCCGACTTAAAAGCCGCCAGACAGCACCACCAAATTCGCACCACTCATAGGTTCTGCCTTTGCAATTACATGCCGTCTCCAATGCTTTTGCTCGCGCTTGCTGCGCTCACTCTCTGTCTGTCGTCCACCCCCGTTTACCTCATTTCAGTCTCTCACAGAGATCGACAGCGACAAATGCTCTTGTCCATCCTGGGCAACAAGGGAGTCCCAATACCTCCATCAGCGCTAGCGTTCCGCCCATGCCGGATAATGCTCTCATTGCGCAGACTGCTAACCAGGTCGACCAGAAGGGAGGCGCTGCTTTCGATGCGCCGCCCGATATCGCCGTCCCGCCTACAGCGGTCACCGCCGTTGACGGGACCCTCACGAATGACACCGTTGCTGATGCCTCTACTTCCGGCACGGCGAAGCGCCGTGAGATCAAACGCCAGTCGGAGTTCGAGAAAGTCTTTGACGCCCTCCCCGCTGGTCAGCACGACGCCTCAATCGAGGGGACAGCATATCTGACGTACACCCTCGTGAACAACGCAACATATAACATCGCGGCCTGTACCGATTGGTGTGCCACCGTTGACGGATGCGGTATGGATCCTCCTATTACATTGTCCCTATTATCCCGGTGACTGAAATTCTACCCAGTCTTCGTCAATCTTTACTACGAATTCAACAATGTTCTCCTGGATTTCGTCTTCAGTGAGAAGTCTAACCTCAAATGTGCTGCGTATGGCGATGTCCACAATGCGACCGAGAAGACAAACTTTGGTGGACAGACATCTTATCCCGTAGTGCGTCATCTCTTATTGTTGCAAGGGGAGCCCAGGAGAATTGCTTACATTCCTCCCTCTACAGATCAGCAACAGCACCCAGCCTATACCTCTTACGTACATCACGCAAAGCAGCGGCTGGGCACTCAGCGGCGGCCTCGTTGACCCCGCCACGCCGGACGGTTATGAGCTTGTCTTCGGTCCCACCGGTGGTGCCAACAACGCGCCCGGGGTAAGCGCTCAGTTTCCTACACATTTCCTGTCCTGTCTGTTTTGCACTACGTTAACGCGCTTCACAGTACATGGGTTTTGCGTTCCTCGACAAGTATGATATTGACGCCTGCGCACAACTCTGTAACGGTCGCGGCGTTGACCCGAACGGGGGCGGATGCGCGTACTTCAATATTTGGCGTGCGGTCGTGAACGGGGTGCCGACGACTTACACTTGCTCAATGGTGTGCTCCCTAACATTTTGTTTTGAATACTGATCTGCATGAACTCCCCGTAGTACTTCCTCGTCGCCGATGAATCCACGGCAGTCAACACCGGCCAGGGTCCTCTCGTCGTAACCTTCTCCCGCGGCTACGCCCGCAAGTCTGTGCTCCCCGACGGCGGCTTCGAAGGCTACACACAGTGCAGCGACTTCTGCTACACCGCGTCCTACGCCAACTGGATCGGCGCTAGCCCGGCCGGCGGCACCTTGGATGCATCCATCTTTTTCTTCCCGCCTTATGCGCACACGGGCCACGGCTCTGCGCTCCTTGGCTCAGCTGATAACGACGATAGCCTCCCCGGGACTCTCAGGCCCGCGCACCCGCTGACGACCGAGAAGAACGCCAATTATGTTGTGCAGTGTTTCATGTCTTCCGCTTTCTCTGCCGAGTACCTCGAGGAGCGGGCGAAGGTTGATATTCTGTGGAATGGAGCCCGTGTCGGCGGTGTCAGCGGGTACTCGGAGTACGCTTTTGTGGAGGCGTCTGTGGTTGGGACTGGCAGTGATCTACTGTCGTTTGTCGGGGGCGCAGCGCCTGCGTGGACTTCATCGACGACTGCTACGTCTACAAGGTGTGAGGAGGCTTTTTCTTTCGTGATCTCCTTGGGTCGTAAATGTAAGAGTAGGAATGCTATTCATTATGTACTTCTAGTATGCGAGATTTCTTCGGCCGTGAATTGCTCCAAAGGTGTCGTCCATGTACAGAGTTGATACCCGGATCCGAAAAAGACCGGGATGCGAAAAATCTCACGTTATAAGCGCAGCGTCGATCAGATTGAACTCAATATTTTTGGGTGTACTCTTATACATGTATTGAACCATCGTACAGCATCAAAATCCCCGATATGAATCGCCTACCGGCACAGAAAATTCAAAACGTGCCAAAAATGGAAATTTGCGGTTGTGCCAAAAAGTCGCCGGCGGAGAATTGCTCTTGTGAGTCCGTACGACATTTCCTGGACCCAAGATTGTACGTGAGATAGATTTGGCAATGCCTCTACCCCCTGGAACATTTCGTTTGATCGGGGGATACCGTCGGGACGTGTACACGACCCGATTTTTCGCTTCCGGGTCCACCACCAAAATAAGCTCCCAAAGTGATAAGGCTCATGCTCCACATCGAGGTAGTCAAAAAGGCTGAAAATATTTACGTGTAGAGCTCAACATACGGTCCCCTCCTCAGACAAGTTTCAAAGAGCTGCAGTCCGTAATGACAGCGGGAAGCTCTCGACAAACATTTTTTTTCGCTTCCGGGTTTCAACTCTGTACTTAGTCGTAACTTACTGCTTGATTTCGAGTTATCAATTAATTTTTCCAACACCATGTTCTGAGAGAGCACTGTTACAAGGGACTTGAGACCCTGGTGTCGTCACTACCTTGACCCCTTGAACGCCGCCCAGAGGATAAATCGCCTAGACATGCAGAAATCGGGCGTGGTGGACGGTACACTCCCACTTGCCGTTATCCAGCAATGTAGGTGGGAACCCCGGGTTCGACTCCCGGCGCCCGAATGGCGCAGTATGGCATTTTTTTGTCTCTTTGTTCGGCTGGGGCATGTGGTCAAGTCAAACCATATCAACACGCAGTCGGTTTTTTCCGCACGAACTGGTTGTTTTCATCGGGCGTAGTTTATGGAACACGCTTAGCTGCGGTGCAAAATGGTGCCAAACCTGAAGGCGGAGAGATCCGGGTTCGAATCCCGGCACCCGAGCTGCTTTGAGGGGATTGTTTTTTTACGGACGCCAACTTCTTCTTCCTAGCCAAATTCGACACCTAGGGGTATAAACCGCCACTCATCACACACGTCCACATCGAATCTGCTAAGGCTCCAACCATTTAGTTTTCGTTTAAGCATCCGCTCAAATTAAATGGAAACGGTTTTAAAACAGTTTTAAACCGTTTAAAACGTTTTAAAATGGTATTTTTTGGAGGGGCAATCAAACACGGTGTGGGATGGCGCACACTCACCTCTTTGCCTTCTAACGACCCGTTCTTCACTCCTCTAGGCTCGGTCTACATTCTGGGCAAGAATTGAACACAAAGTCTGAGTCAGCCGTGAGATAAGCCCGAAGCCAGCTGCGTGATTACTGATTTTCGACGTCAGCCCGGAATCCGGAGACCTTTTGCTTGCACCTCGTGAGTTAGTTAACGATAAAAGCAACATTAGTCGCACTTACCAAAGCCGTATGTTGTCCGGAATTGCGTCCCACATCCCGGATCTGCGATGCCGCAGGGAGTAACCATTTAAACCCTTTGAAACAGTTTGTAAACAGTTTGCTGCCCAGGTCAAATTAAATGGAAACGGAAACGGTTAAAACCGTTTGAAACTGTTTATACACGGAAATGGTTGGAGCCTTAGAATCTGCTCCTTTGCCCCAACTTTCTGCAGCACGTCGAGCCGGGTAAGGGATTATCCAGTCCCAAAGTAGCATACAGGAATCATTCGTGGTGTACGGAACACCCCCACTTTACGTTACGCCGTACGGACGACATGAAGTAAGTACCGTAGTATTTCGATCAAATCGATAGTCACGCGTCACGCACCCGCCTATCGATATCGAAATTTGGTCCGTGTCACGCGTCACCCAGGCCATTATCGAATTGGTCTAGCAGTTCGGAAAATCCCCTTAAAATGCGAGTAAATTCATGCACATATTGGTGAGTCTTCACAGGCATAAAAGACATGAAATCTGGCCTATTTTGATCCAGGAACAGCCCATGGGTCCCAAAGTCCCATTTTCTGGTGCCAAATCGTTGAAAGAAAACACGGGATAAAAAATTTCCGAAGGTATGGTAGCATTCCCCCGAATATTCAAGGACTGTGCCAGGAGTGATTTCTACTCAAACAGCGCGAATTGGACCAATTATCGAAATTTTTCTCCGTGTCACGCACCTTTCAGCCCCGTATCGAAAGCTCGAATTGGTTGAAGAAGTCACGCATCACGCATGGGTTCGATTTGATCGAAATACTACGGTATGTGGGAGGCCTGGGTTCGACTCCCAGCGCTTGTATCAGTTGGTCGATTATGGATCATATTTTTGCGTTTCTCTGCCGGTTCAAGATGATAATGACGGCGAGGTACAGACGCCGTATTCCTATAAAAAATGAAAGATCGACAAGGGGATACATCCGAATCGAGTCCAATCCGTGGCTCCTTTGCCTTTTTGTAATGTTGAACTTGGCAGGGTATTCTATGTCCAAATATAAAACAGGAATCGGGCGTGGTGTATGGAACACCCATTTACGATTCGATGTTGAGACTGGGAGTCTGAAGTATGTGGGAGACCTGGGTTCGATTCCCGGCGCCTGAACTGTGCCGCGGCTTGCCGTAGTTTTATTCCCTTTCAGTCCGCTCAGGGTGGTGAGGAAAGCCTTCCGAAGAGGAGACACTAACTTGAAGGCCAGTGCGCCTTTCCACCTACGATAAAGGATTATTCAAGAGATACAACTCCGGCACCGAATAGTCAAAGTTGAGCTTGCGAGATGAGTCAATCGGATCTTCCAGAATTGAGCAGGCAATTGACACGGTCCTATGCAATATAATCCAGTCAGTCCCTTGGATGTCATTTATTGTGGACTTGTTTTGTAGTCAAACAGAAAACCTGTTCGAGACTACCATCAATCTTGAACACAAGGTATACCGGGGTGGTTTATCGAACTTCCCTTGGCCTTGAGCGTCGCATGGCATACTCAACTAATGTCGCATGCAGCCCAACCCGCAGTTCAAATCTCGACGCCCGTAAAGCGAGTGTTTCACACAGCTGACGCAGCGCAGTACAGATTATTGTGCAATCGTTCCACTAAAAGCGGCATCGGCGAAATTTGCTCACCCGAGTTCTTCCTAAAGTCGGGAGGATCCTGGTCCCGGGCGCACCATCTACTTTTCAGTGCCAGATGGTGTAGATGCGCAGCCGGTCAAGAGACTTTGGACCCGCGTAGATCGCAATCCAAACTCGGGCACCCCTGTTTCAACAGCTTTTCTGAGTTTTCTCCAGGAATTGGCCAGGATCACTGAAGACTCTCGTTGCGTTCCATGGATAGGACCTCAAGCATATTGAACCTTTGCAACCCACTCAACCATCGTTCGGCCTGGGCACGGCACAGAAACGGCAGTCAATCCGGGTTGTTCCGGCGGAGCCTGTTTCACCTGTTTTGGGAACATCTTGCCCACGCACGTCCCAACAGCATCTGTGAGCGTTTCTGGACACACCACATGAGCGGAGACTGGCCTGGGACTCTATTTACAGACGTCAAGTATACTGCGGAGCGGGGCAAACGTCGCCTATAACCCGCCTTCTTCCCACTGTCCCCTTGTCTTCCTCCTCCCGAGCTCCTCCCCACTAATGGCCCCTCCCGCAATCGAGCTCAAGGAAGTTGCCTCGTCAGAGTCGTCTCGGTCCCGGGGGAAAGGCGCTGACCGCAGCGAGGACTATGGTGAGCCCCCCTCTATCCCCCCGCGCACCCGTCGTGCTCAAGCATCGTTGCAAGCCGACGCTGAAGCCGGCCCAAGTTCACGCCGTCTGGCTGGCGGTGGACACCACATGATCAAGGTTCAGCCCTTGAAGAAGGAGGAGATGCAGGCCAGTCGACTCGCCAGTCGTATTTTGTCTATAGGCTGACATCCCCAAAGCCGTCTTATGCCCAGGACCTCGGAACTCACGAGGTTAGTTGAACGGGTTGCGTTAGATCTCCCTCTCATGTCCGCTAGGTTACACACGGCCTGTATGGGTCTCTGCTGCAAGGTCTTGGAACAGTGGTAGGGATATGCGGCATGTTTCCGTGCTGCCCCTTCCCGAACCCGTTCCGGGAGGTCCAACAGGGTGCGTGGTTTCGTCTCGGACAACGAGTGATATTCAACGCTGTTCTTTGTAGGTTCTGTCGGGCTCGTTTCCCGCTTTGGACAGTTCTACAAGTCGGTCGACCCGGGCCTTGTCCAGGTCAACGTCTGCACGGAGTCTCTGCGGATCGTGGATGTAAAGATTAATATCATACCGATTGGCCGTCAGGGCGTTATGTACGCCCATGCCATCCTCCCTTCAGCCTCTCTTACTAATGCACGCCCTGTCCAGCACCCGCGACAACGTCAATGTCGAAATGTACGTCCCTCACCGTCTGTCCCCGCATGATATTTACCCCACCCAGCGACTCGGTGATCTACTACCAAATTAGCAACCCCTACCGCTCCGCCTTCAACATCGGCGACCTGCGCAAAGCGCTCATCGAGCGCGCGCAGACCACCCTGCGGCAAGTCGTCGGCGCGCGCCTCGTGCAGTCCGTCGTGACGGAGCGCGAGAACATCGCGGGCGAGATCGCGGAGATCGTCGCGGACGTCGCGGAGCACTGGGGCGTTGCGATCGAGGGCATCCTCATCAAGGACATCATCTTCTCCGCGGACGTCACCGCGAGTCTCAGCAGCGCCGCGCAGCAGAAGCGTATCGGCGAGAGCAAGGTCATCGCTGCGCGCGCGGAGGTGGACTCGGCGAAGCTGATGCGGCAGGCGGCGGATATCCTCGCGAGTCCGGCGGCGATGCAGATAAGGCAGTTGGAGGCTTGTGAGTTTATTTTCTTGCCTCCTCCCCTCTCACGTTGTGCTTGGACTGGTTGTTGATTTTGTTCTGCAGTGCAAGCGATGGCAAAATCAGGCCAGCAAAAGGTCATCTTCGTCCCGATGCAGCTGCAATCCGACGTCGTCGGCCAACTCGCCCACGCAAACGCAGCAGGTGGCGGTAATACGGCTACGATCAGCGGGCCAACCGACGCCGGCGAGGGCCCCTCGCATTATGATCTCTAAACTTGATTTACTTTTACGCCCATTATTCCGTTTCTTCGTCCGCAGTACGGCTACGGGTCAAAATCATGTACACCATGTATGTTCGACGCGGTGTGTAATTGCAAGCTAGTTCACCACCAGCGTCCGAAGGCGTTTGCAATGGAATTCACCAACGCATTGAAAACCCTTCAAAACGCACTGTTCCCCTCGAATCGTCTCGTCCGCCAGGTCTCAACGAAAAGAGTCAAGGACATGCAATATTTCAAGGGCTTGGACGACGTTCCGAGACGAGCTAGCTAATACATACGAATGCTCACTGCGAGATCTGAAAAACTTCAGAAGAAAGATATGTCACATAGATATTTACAGAGCTATCGACAGACGCTTCAAAAACAGGTACAACGAAATTCAGGAACGAAATTCAGGATGGAGATACAGGAATTCTGTCCCGAGTCGAAGGCGTATTCGAGGGAAACGTATTCCAACTAGACGTTCGTGGGGCCAGCTGGGACAGCCTCCTCTGCGCACCCTGACGCATTGAAGAGTAGGCCTTGAGCAAAATGGTGAGCGCTATAAATTTCAATGAGCCAAGAGAACACTACCTCTCAACATCTCCACGTTCTGCTTGAATATTCCCTTGGGCTCGGTTGCTAGAGTTGCTGGGACAGCGTTGTGGAAATTGTCCCAGTACGCCGCGCAACCCTAGATTCAGGATGAATACGGCTGTCCACAGTGCTATAGATCTGAGACAACGCACCGAACTGACGTTGAATGGGGCCGGTGCCTTGGGATCTGCCACAAAAACGCCGTTTTCGTCGTTGTGGCCAGGGACCCACTGGGGCAATGCTGCCGCAATTTCGCCTGGAACGGATCCGCCGAAAACCGGAACCGCCGCACGGTGCCAATTTTCGGGGAAGGTCTGGTTCATGAAGAAGGAGCTGATAATCCGCTTGGTGGCGAGCCCTGTAGTTCCTGTGTTGCGCGCGATTAGTGGCCAGCGTGCAGAGCTTGAGCTTCATAATCATACCATTTGCAAAAACGCTAGCGACAGAATGAGTGTCAGTATCGTTAATCTCTGTATGCCAAAGAAATACTTGCGTCATGATGAGTCCCGGTGCAGCTGGTGCGTGAATGTAAGTAATTGGATGAATTGGATCTGCCTGACTCACCAAAGACAAGATTCAAGCGACGGATAGGGACTGCAAACTAGTTCCAGCTCAGCACCCTCGAAAAAAAAATCAGTCAATGTCGAACATACTTCTGGGTCCAATATCTGGTCAGACTCCAAGTTCTGCTTTTTCAGTGCGATCAGAGTTTCCAGGTTGAAAACCGTCTTCGGGCCGTCCGGGCCATCGTCACCCAATTGCGCGAGTACTTGCAGGTCCTGCCAAGAATTTAGCAATTGAAACGCGCCCTGGGAGATGTACAATCCCACCTCATCCCAGAGAGTCTGATTGAAGTTACGATTGTCGCCGATGTGAACGTCGGAGCGAGTCATTGAGGCATCACCTTCAGATGATCAAGTATAACTGGAGTCCCAGATGAGAGGGTCAGCTAACCTTCGCCCCGCCCGTGTGCTGCTATTCCCCGTGTCTGCGGTCCATCAATTTGACCCGGCAGTGGAGGGACGTGCGGGGAGACTCCGCCGATGGAAATTTTGTTCACGAAAGCATTTCCGCGTTGGAGCTGTCGAGGAGAATGGCTGAGCAACACGCATTTGCCGAGACTTGAGATCCTTACCAAGTTGAGTGCCGCCATACCCACACCCATGTCCCTATCGATATTGTACGCCTCTTGGGCACCGTTAATGATTTCCTCGAAACTGGTGATTCCACTACCAAAAATAATCAATAAAATGCAGTTCGAACGGAGGAAGAATCGTACTTCCTGGAGATATATCCATGGTTCGCAAGCGTGTTCAGGCCCGGGCATGCTAAGGGAAATCGTAAGTAAACTGGCGCTATCAGCGGTTTAAAGCAGGAAAAACTCACGTCCGCGCATGTCGTTGGGCCCAGGTGCGATGAAGGGATGGTCAGCATCTAGAGCGCACGTTTAATTTATTATCACCGAATAACTTGAGTTGGGGGTTGGTGGAGATACCTGGTATACGCTTGGTGCCCGTATCAGTCTGGCGTGGCGGCACAACCATCAGGACGCCCGTTTGGCCGTCCTGAATGTCGACAGCATTTACTGCGACGAACGAGGACGAGATCACCAGTAAGAGGCTGGAGAAGGACTTCATTTTTGCGCAGAAGATGTTCCTCTTGCAGCACAGCAGCCCATTCTCCCCTCGATTTTTATACCCCACATTATGGCTGTTGGTGTTATACTTACCTCCTGCTTCTATCTACTGGACCGTTCGGCAGAGATTGTAAGAATAGAGTGGTGGTTTGGGGATGGCCGAACGGATGAATCGTGGAAGGAGTGTTGAGGTTTCAGTGCATTACTGAAATATTGTGTTGACCCTTCGTATCTCTCATGACTTGGGACCGAGAATTTTTCAGGCTGGTGACACCAGCCAAGGTTGAACTTGGGCAACTC